TGTTGTAGCACAGTCATTTTCTTCCCTGTACATCATAAATTATCTCAAAGAATTCAAATTGCCTACACACTTTTGTAATTAATCCAAAATATATCATATTTCAACATCTAAATTTGAACAGCAACTAGGTTTTAAAAGTAGGTAAAGATCTGATTCACAAGACAACATTTATTCAAAAATGTTTTGTGACAAGAAAACATTGTCATTTTTGGTTCTGAGCCTTTGGAAAACAAAAATCCTGTATTTATGAATATCTAACCCTGTTATTTGAACAATGTTCCTAAATTGGTGCAATAAAAGATGGCTTTCTCACATATTTATACCCTATGAGAATACTACTGTTTTTACCCTCCTTGGATTTCCAAATATACATTTCAACAAACCATTTGCCCCAGAAAAGCTTGGAAAAACAAATATATATTTTTTGAACTCTTCTTCAGAGAATCTAAGAGAAAAGTATAGACGGTAGTCAAACATTTTTTAATATTTGCTAAATTTAAGAAACGAGTTTTGGTACCACAGAACATGACCAATAATACTCATGGATTTAGAGGTTTCAGTATATCACTATTTTTTTTATTGCTAGTGGGGTGGGACTAAGTCCCTTGTACTGCGGCCACTTCTGGCCTATTGTACCAGCCCCAGATGATAGGTGAGGGTGATTGTGGAGCAATTGGTGGAATGAAGATTGGCAGGGGAAACCGAAGTACTGGGAGAAAACCTGCCCCACGCCACTTTGTCCACCACAAATCCCACTTGATCAGACCCAGGATTGAACCCGGGCCACTGCGGTGGGAAGCCAGCGACTAACCGCTTGAGCTATGGTGGGGCCCTAGTATATCACTAGGTGTGGTTGCTATATCTCATTTCATGTCTTTCAGGTATATAATTTGTTCTTTCACAATAAAGAGGATCTTGCATAATGTATTAAATTACTACAGACAGCACTAGTCTTCTAAATTTGAAGGAAGTAAACTCAGTGGTGGAGCTTGGTGTTCAACCACAGAAAACAAATAAATAAGAAAAATAACAAAATCTCTCACACAGCAGCATGGACTAAATGGGTTAATGTAGGCACAGCAACTGATTTTTCTGCCCTTTACTTTTTTAATGTGTGTATGTTTATGCATTTATTAACTGTTTATTTAACAATGTTGTCAGTAGCTCAGACTATACAGTATTGAATGCTAGGTCAATTAGTGAATAATTAATTGGAAAGAATGTGGAAGGGAGTAGTCATGACATAATTCGGGATACTATACCAGCATTTGCCTGAATGGACTGAGAAGGAACCATGGGAACCTCAAAGAGGACTGCCAGTGTTATGGCCAAAATTCAAACTGGGCACCTCTAGGAAAAAGTCAGAAGTGTTACCACCTGAACAGACTTCCTGTATGTTAATCTATCTTGATATAATTTGTATAGAGGTGTTAATATTGTATCAGCTGTGGAGAGTATTTATGCCGAATGAGAGCATATTTATGTAATATGAACTGCAATATATTTATATTGCTTACATTTATCCAAGAATCATGGGTGGAATGTGGAGGGATGTGTAAGGAAACTCTTTAACTCTCATACAAGTTTAGTACTCAAAAATAACGTGGAATAAAATTGTTTTTCTTGGTTACTGATAAAGGGTCTGTGTCATCTATAAGATTACTGGTTAACTGCTGCATGTATGCATTTCTCTCATGTAGATAATCTTGCTTCATTCATAACTAACTCTATGGAGCAGAATCTTTCTTCAGAAGCTAACAGTCATGCATCTAATCAACAAATATTTGTTTTCATACAACCTGAAGGATCATTACCATGTTCATAGGATCCTGCCACTGGTCTCTATTCTGAGCCAGTCCACATCATTACAACCTATTTTATATAATCAATTTTAATATTATTTTCCCATCTTGTTTGACTCATAGGTTATGTAAAGATCAAAATGATTTACTGTTTTGAAATCATAAACTTTCCAAATTCTTGCAGGACAGCATCAAATGACTAATGCATTATTTGACCCTGTCTTAAGTCATAAAAGTGTTTGAAGGCTGGTTACGTACGACAAGGGTTGCTGAGTCGACCAGGTATACGAAGGGCACATATAAACCCATCATGCCGAAGAAGTTGCTGATGCTGATGAGCATGAATACAGGGTCTTTGAGCAGGGTTAAATCCATCATGGCAGCCAGAGTTGATTTGAATGATTCAGGCAGGGTCAGACAAGGGCAGAGATCAGCTGCAACACACACATCAGCATGAGATTACATCTGTCACGAACTGGAGGTACAGGATATAAAATCAGAGGATTTCACAATGAAGCCATATTAGTACAAACTAAAATTATGACAAAGAGTACACACACACACGCATGCTCTCTCACATCTGTTCATTTAATGAAGTCCACTGTCGTTAGTTCTTGACCAATGATGAGTAGTCTTCATTATATTAACAGGAATATGTGTGTATGTCAGGATATTTATTTTACTCATCATATCAGTCCCTGGTGATGGAAAATCTGCAAAATGTGCAGAGCCTTATATTGTACGGATATATGTGATTACTCAAAAAGACATTATGGAATATATAGAACATTACTGTACATGAAGTAAAATTCTTATGTAACCAATTTAACCCTCTGAAACACATAAATGCACCAAGTCTCCCATAATTTTTTTCTTCAGAACTTGCTCTGCAATTTTGAAACAGTAGGGCCAACTTTAAAAAAGTAAGGCAGTTTTTAAAAATAAATAAAACTTACTGTGGCCAAGGGCCATATTACACAATTAAATGAATAACTACAATTTCAGACTAAAAATGATTGAATATGTGAATCCATTTATAGAGGTGGTAGGTAAATAAACTTCACTTAAAATCAGAACTGATGCTTTATTTAGCTGGAGATTTGTTAAGCTTCCTTAGCACTCCAAATTCATTGTCTTTGAATTTATCACATATGCAGTCCAAATATATTGTAACGTGTTTCCGTTACTGAAGACGCCGTAGAGATGGTTAATTGGGTTTATTTAACAGTCTACAAANTTACACCAATATGAACTTAAACATTTCTCTTAAATTGTAGATGCTTTTAAGTATAAATAATGGATTTCTAGCACGTCCAAATGCTGACAACATAGAGAAAGAAATAAAGAAGCAAGGAAAGGGAGGGACCAACAATGATAGAAAAAGAAAGAAAGCTTGGAAGAAGGAAAAATAAAAAAAGCAAAGGAACGGAAAACAAAGACAAGAAAGTAAAAGAAAAAATTAGAGAAAGTGAATACAATAGATAATACAGAATGAATGTGAAAAGTCATCACACTGGAAGTACCTAAACTGTTTCCTACTTCACAGTACACAGATGAGGTTTAATGATTATCTCAAGATCTCCAAATAGTTTGGACCATGAGTCAGATCCATCCCTGTAACCCTTACGCTAGATTACTTTTCCCAGGGACAGATTAACAACTAAGATATGCAGCTATCATGGTAGATGTTAAAAAGTGCAGCTTACTTCCTTTCTCAACGTCAACGACATCACCTCGTTCTTGTGCATACTTGGGCAGTGAAATAACACTCTGGCGGTAGCTGGCAAGGGATTTCTGTGATTTGAACTCTGGCAGGTTCATGACACTCCCCGAGTAGAAGATGTCCTTTCGGGCCAGAGGCCGTATCATCTCGCGTCGATCTCGGTGTATGCTTGACTTGGACGTGGAAAAGCAGATGCTTTCATTGTCAGCCATCTATAAGTTACACATGTCAGATACAATTTCCAATACTGAAGGGTTCCAGAATTTTGCCATAACTGTAACAGACTAAGAGATGAATGTTTGGATGATGGAAGAAATGTGGTACCTACTTTTGTTCATCTTGTATGTTCCTGAGTTGTTACTATTGTTTTGCATCAATTTCTTTTAATTGTTTCTATTTTGAGTGTAATTTAAACAAGACTATTATCTCATGCCATGTGATGATGTACTTTGACATCTACCAAATTACATGATGTCACATCACGAAAGACCGTAATCTTGATACTTGGCACCGTAAGAATCTCAGTTCATATAATTTAAACAAGTTGGGAAACATATGCATGGCATAAACATTCTGGCATTTTCGTGTACGAAGGGCAGTTTCAGAGATCTTATAAAACTATTCCAAATATGTAGCATGTCACCGCAGACAGTTTAACCTTTGGTATTGAAGTTATGATGCGTTTTCTGAGACAATTCTTTTTTCTTGGACACAATCAGATACGAGGGGCTAACATTGAAGAAATATTCTGTGGTGGAGAGGTCCATCATATTTTGAAGATGGTATGATTTTATTTTTAGCCACAAACTCTAAAAGTGAACATGTTTAACCTGAGATGAAAATCTCTGTGATGGGTCAAATGCCCTGCAAGAACATGCATTACATGTTGTTTCAAAATGTAACACCAAGTTCAGTAACTCAACTTACTGCTGCAGCCTGTTATTTCAGCCTTAAGACTGACCTCTTCCATCCCTATATCCCTTTTTACCTAAAAGAGTTCGTTCCAGCTGATCTTCTGATTTTATGACTAGTTTATGGCATGTATCAGACAGAGCTCTAATTTCATAATCAGGTGTTACTGTAAACACGTTTTAAATTATATTCCTCTGAAATCACTTGGTTCTTTTGAAGGTGTTAAAGATAAAAGAAACCCCTTGTGGTTTTATTTGAACCTCCATGCAAAGAAATGAACTAAATTATTTATATATTATTATTTATATTTATNCAACAGCAAAGAACATGCCACTTGCAGGACATTTAGTTATGATATGAAATGGGATCAACTGGTTGTGGATAACAATCATTTGGCTGGTTTTGGGATGTCACTGATGGACCATCTGGTTGAAATGTACTCATAAGGTATTCTTCAAACATGCAGTCAGTAAATAATTTAGCTAACCAGTCAGCTAAAAACTGATTGACTGAACAACTGGCTGACTGGCTAGCTTAATGACAGTGACAACTAACTACACAGCTTGTCTGCCTGCCAGCAAACTACTCATGCAATCAGCAAGTCAATAATTCAGTCACTCAAATAATCACTCAGCCATTCAGCCAGTTAATCATCCACTTTGTGAGCCAGCCAGCCTGCCACTTATTCGCTCTGCCAGTCAGTCAGTCAGTCAGTCAGCCATCCGGCAATCGTCCGTTCACTCTAAAAACCAGTAAATGAGCTGTCAAATATCTTGGGCCATTCAGGAAGGACACTGTCACAAAGCGGGTGCATGCGTAGTTGGTAGAAAGCTCAGCAGATTGGGTCCTAATGTACTTACATCAGTTTTGGACCACATATCATCACAGTTGTTGTTACGACTGGCTCCAAGAAATGAGGAATTTGACAGCCTGAGTTGCAGTGATTTCCGTATATCCCCATTCGAATTGATGCTCGGTCTTGACACTTTTATGGGGCCCAGAGTGGGCCTATACCGCTCACTGGCGCTGGTCTTTCTGATGCGATCGAAGAAAGGAACTGAGCCATTCTTGGGCAGCCCCTGCACATGAGTAGTGAAAGCTGGCTGGGATGCATTGCGGGGCAGAACACCCTTGTTGTTAAACTCCGAACCATTCTCTTCATTCTTTTTCTCATTATCTTTATCATCTTTTTCCTTATCTTCTTTATTCTCCTTCTCCTTAGTGCTATCTTGTTTCTCTTCCTCCTCCTTAACATCTTCAATGCGCCTTGCCTTTGTCTTCTCCCCATTTGCTTTTAGGTCTGCGGTACTGCCACTGCTGGAAGCGCCACTGGAACCACTGTGGTCTGGAACTTTAACCTCAGAGATAGTTGGCAGTGTTGGTACGGTTGGTACTGGTGTTAAGGGTGTACCAGGTACCAATTGGTCCAAGTTGAAGCTGGAATGAACGCCAGGGTCAATGTTGATGGGCATCTTAAGACGTTTCTCCATGCTGCCATCTGGTAATTGTACCATGAAATAAGAACCTCCTATAGACCCTCGTTCCATCTGGAAGCGTTTTTCTTCTGCCATTCGTTGCAGCAAAGGTTTGCAGCTGGGACCCTTCGGGTACTCCAGGGGACGCATCATGGCTCCGAACACCTGTCACAATTACCAGACACCAGAATTATTCTTTCTGAAAAGTAAACAGAAATTCTTGTATAATTATACTTATGTTTCATACCATGGAATTATATACTTTATCAAATTTGTAATAAAACACTCATATTAAAAACGTGTACATGCATTAAATATTTATCTCATTAATTCCTGTACCATTTCCCTCAAACATGATCTCATGTTCAGATATGTATATTCTGTTACACATATATCAACAACTGTAGGACTTAATGCTCTGCTTACTCTAGAATCCATTCTATTCCCAAAGTTTTAGGATTATTCAATTAGAGAGTTAAAAAGAGGATATCATAATCTGGTACTAAGTTGTTATCCCTTATCACACATCTTCAACGACATTAGAAGTGAATAATACTATTTAACCATTTTCATGATTATTATTATTATTATTATTATTATTATTATTAGAGGGGGTTTGTTTCCCCATGCACTTAGACCAGTTATTGGTCCATTGCGCGTCCCCCTTTAATTTCTACTGTCGCCATACCCTACCGGTACCGGTGCGTGCTATCAGCCCCGTTCAGCCAACGAGGTCGGCCGTCGGTACCTTGATACTTCCCCCATCTACCAGAGGCAGTGGAAACTACTTGGGCGGGAAACTTGCCTAATAATTTTGCTCAGAGGTCTCCTAGAGACATGAGGATCTTTTACGTGCCGTAAATCTACGACACGGGACCCACGGCTTAAAGTCCCTCCCGGATGACTTGTTCCCTAAATTTTTCCGCCCTTAATAATTCCACGACCTCCGCGTACCTTGAGTCATGAGGTGGGAACGTTACTCCTAGACTACGGAGGCCGCTTTTCATGCTAAGTATGTAATTAGTTGGTTTTTGAACTTTCATGCTAATATACAATTTAAGCTTGCGTGTTGCCGCAAATGATGAAAGAGCAGTACACGTTTACTTTTATTATACACATTAACGCCACATATTACATATATATATGAAAAAGGAGAACCGGTTTAAAAAGCGACATTTATCATTGAAAGCAAGAATTTAATCACGATATCTCGAGGTATTCGAGATTCTCACGATGGCGACTATGAATATTATGGTATTCTGGGCTGTAACGTCATGTAGTTCGAAGACAGCCAGTCCTACGCGGTCCTGCGTATCTGAGGAACATATCGCCTTCATCTTCAGGCTCGAAGAGCATGCCAACACATCATCAGAAGCAATCGGTCTATTATGCATGCAATACTGTACAGCTGACAGTAAGAATTGGGGTCACTGTGGACAAGACAGCGGTGCATGCACCAAGGCCAATGAAACAGACTACTTACGGCACAGTTCAGAATGAGCCCGGCGAGGATGAGGTTGGCCCCCCGCCAGTCGAAGTTCTCCAACAGCATCGTGGCAAGGGGTGCGAACGCAAACGTCCCGAATCCAGATCCGCAGACGGCGATGCCTGTAGCCAGCGACCGCTTGGTCTCGAAGTAGTAACCGACACATACCACAGCCGGAAGGTAGATCAGGCCGAAACCGATGCCTGGAACACGAGAGTTCCGGCTCAGCAATGTCTAGTTTCGTATAGCATGTGACATTTAGTTTGGGTTTGGTAAGAAAGAAAGGGAGGAAAGAGGAAGGAAAGAAAATGAAGGAAACACAAGGAAGAAAGGAAACAAAATAAAGGACAATATTAACGAGAAGAAGAGAAGAAAATGATGAAATGAAAGAACAAACAACAAAACAAGGAAAAGAAAGGAAGACAAACAGCAAACGAGTTAATATATGTACATATGTTATATCTAGATGAAGTAGTACCAAAGTACGAATTTGGGCCACCAGAGCACTGACAGAGCCAAGGGTTGACAAAAACAAATGAGCACAAAGGGAAAGGAGATATGCAAAAGAAGAGAAATTAATACGAGCAGAAATACGAGATGTATACTGTTTATCCTTGGTTTATTTAATGGTATTTTCAATAGCTCGGAATATATAGCGTCGAAAGACAAGCTGATTAGTAAGCACTGAGAGAAGTGATCATGGCATAACATGAGCCAATGTGGCCGAGATTGTGAAAGCGACAGCTCTCGAATGGGAAGCAGGAGAGCTTCGCATTCAACTTTCGCTAAGATTGAAGTGAAGAAACAGAATTGCCGAAAAAAAAAACAGAAAAAAAAGACGAAGAAAACAAAACTTAATGTAAAATGAATTTTATTTTCTCTTTCAAGCAGAATGTGCAAAATTATTGTGAACTACATTTTACAAGGACAGCACTGGGGATGGTGTTAGACCAGAATGGTAATAGTTTTCTGATTTCAAGGCGAACTTCTGTTACCCTTGTATACACTTCACTGCACTGCTGACACTTCAAGATCATACGTATTAATTCTTCAAATTCCAGGAAGTTTTAAACATCTTTCCAATTTCTGGGAAGTACTTCCATTTAGATGGTTATCATTTTCAGTCAACCAGTCACAAGAAGACATCTGAAACGAGCTTCTAGGTGATCCGGGTACCAGGGCTGCCAAACTCTCAAATTTCGTTCAGGTTTTTTCACACGATTTATTGAACAGTCACAGGAAGTCAAGTAGTGGGATCTCTGAGCTCTTCAACTAATACATGTATACGTGTGTAGGGCTGGAAGCCTTGCAACCTTCAGTGAGAGCCGAATGGAGTCAAAATTGTGATTTAAATTGTTTATTGTCTGCAGAAATATTTCACTGCTACAATAAAATCTCAATGTTGCTGCGTGAGAGTATGGTAATAGAATGAGCCAGCAGAGTGAGGCGCACCGTGGATGCAGGTAGTACTAATTCTGCCAGCAGTAGTCTCTCTGTCGTCAGCTGTCGTCATTTTCATGAAAATGAATATTTAGGACAGCTTTTCGAAACTGGATGTTATGTTATATGGCAACTGTATTAAAGTAATTATTTTTAAACAAAAAATAGGAAAGACGTAAATTATAAACAACTTCCACAGGCGTTCAAAGCGATTTTGTATACCTAACGGGCTTACATGCTAATTTACTGAAAAGTCATATTCATTACTGCAAATATATAGTAAATTGTTGCTAAGCTAACATGCTACAAGGTATGTATTTTAACAATTTCGTAGCAAATTTAGTAATTATTTTCGATTCAAAGTTTTAGTTAATTTATAATATTTCTCTATGAAATCAAATTTGTCATAAATAACATAATTTTATAATTTTAAACGATTCTTTATATTATCAAGGGATACCCCTAATTTGGTAGATTTTGACAATTTCATCCCAGGGAACCCTTAGGAGTTTCAGTACATATAAGAGTATAAGCAGAAGAACATGTCCTATTGTATTCAATTCTACGTTACATACACTTGTAAATATAAACAATTAAAAATCAATATAAAAACGATAACAAAAATTCAGGGATACGATCCAGAAAACAGATTTTTTTAATTCATACGTCGTTAAACATTCGCCATGCTGAAAAATGTTTGGAGGAAAAGATTTAATTTACAATATTATGTTACGTGACAGTTGAGGATGAGGTGGGCAGAGCATGTAGCACGAATGAGGGAGAAGAGGAATGCATATAGGATATTGGAGGGAAAGCCAGAAGGAAACAGACCACTGGGAAGACCAAGGCGTAGTTGGGTGGACAATATTAAAATGGATCTTAGAGGGATAGGATGGGATGGTATGGATTTGATTGATCTGGCTCAGGGTAGGGACCAGTGAAGGGCTCTTGTGAACACGCAATGAACCTTCGGGTCCCATAAAATGCTGGGAAATTCTTCAGTAGCTGCAGATTTGGCTTCTCCTCGAGAAGGACTCAGCCCCCATGGGTGAGTAAGTACTACGTAAAGTAAGTAAAGTAAAGCTATCCCTGTTACAGGCCGTGAAGGCCCCACATTATCTAGACAATGGGCTCAAAGATGGCGGTAAGGTTGTCAGACTTACGCGCCGGCCGCGCTTTACTCCCCAGGAAATTATTTAATTAATTCCTGGTACTCATTTCTGTTAGAGGCTGAGTCAACCCCAGGGCCATAGTGCGGCTGGAAGGATTAGGTCAACTGGAAAAAATCCAATGACCTCATCGGGACCTGAAACCGCGAACTTCCGGCTTGTAGCATAGTGCCTCAACCAACTACGCTACCGCGTGCCCCGTAAGTATTACGTGACAGTTTATTTTTGTATCATCAGCAGTTTGCGAGAATATTGATGCAATTCGACTATATGCACTACGTACAAAACACTAATAAAGAACATCACTGAAACGGATAAACCAGAAGGGGGTAAGGCAAAGTATGGCAAGGGTTAGTAAGCTGACACCTCACAGATGTCCTCCGGAGGCATAAAGTAGAGCAATACGCTCGTTGGTGAGATTAATAATGTCCAACCCTCCCCTGCAGCTGAATGGTATAGCGGAGTTTTCAAAAGCAGCTTAACAGCTAGGCCAAGTAATGGACTACATTCTGTGCCACATCATATATACAGAGTGACTGTTATCCACGGTCCATCGAGGGATATACACGTACGTTGTAATGTCCGCTCAAATAACGGCAAGAAAACCGACTGGTTGTGAAGTTTCTTCTTTGGCGATGGAGCAGGTAGTATTACTTCATATTCGGGAGGTACACGTTCGAATCTCGATGGGGGTACCAACTACTCACTCATGGAACTGAGCTCTTCTTGAGAAGCTGCCAATTGTGCAGCCACTCAAGAACTTCCCAGCATTTTATGGAACCCGAAGGTTCATTACCTTGTTCACAAGAGCCCTCCACTGGTCCCTATCCTGAACTAGACCAATCCAATCCAATCCATACCATCCCATCATATCTATGATCCATTTTAATATTGTCCACCCACCTACGTCTTGGTCTTCCCAGTAGTCTCCTTCTTACCGGCTTTCCCACCAATATCCTATATGTATTCCTCCTTTCCCACATTCATACTACAAGCCCTGCCCATCTCATCCTCCTTGACTTTGCCATTCTAATTATATTTGGAGAAGAGTACAAGTTATGAAGCTCCTCGTTATGCAGTTTTCTTCAATCTCCTGTCCCTTGTCACCACGGCACGACGTGTCCTCAGGTTGTGGATGGAAGAGACGGCCTCCAGGTATAGAGGGTAGTTGCGAAAATACTGAATATGCAGCCGCGGACAGCCGACAAGCGGTGGTCCTCCAGATTCGGGGTTGATCGTGGGGCTAATAATTCCTCACCGTAAAAAAAAGCTTGTTACGAAAATCTGCAAGAAGCCTCGGTACCAACTATCCTTGCTGAAAATGTTCTCGCTTTTATTTGTAGATTACTTAAAGACGCTTTTAGTAAGAACTACGTAGCGTCGGGTGGTAGGATGATACACGAATTATGAATTAGACAGGATTTCACAAGAATCAATCATGGTCTAACAGAGGTACTTAGGAGGAACTTTCCTGGAAGGGCCTAAGAAAACCATGAATAAATCAAATCTGGACAGTTGGTGCCCTGACCATGATTCGAACTTAGTATCTCTCGAAAATAAATCTAGAATGTTATCTCTAGGCCAGTCCGTTCGGTGGTATTCCTCAGTCCCTTCAGGAAAATTAAGGGATAGTACCTCCAATTTGGCTAGGCGGCTTCCTTCCCTGTCCTTTCCAGTTCATCATTCACTATTATCGAACCATTCGACGTTACATGGTCTGAGTTATCGATAATGTCTTTAAATGAACTACAAAACGGATCCAGCAAGATCTGGAACACAGTCTCCTCTAAATTTTCTACTATTCTTACATCCCTATGTCTTGGTGTCAGTAGCAACACATATTAACATTTATGATTCACGTACGAGTAAAGTCGATTGACAAAGTCTTAACGAAGTGACCGCTTAAGCATCTACTGCAGTGTTTCTCAACCGGTGGGATGGAATGGTCGGCTGACTGGGCCCTGAAATCTCGAAAATAATTAATTCAGCCACACAAAAGTTTTTTTTTCCTCGGCACTACAGCCCCAGTGGGCCTAGGCCTACCTCCATGAATTTCTCCGTTCACTTCGGTTTTTATAGATCTTACACATTCGGTAGAACTCCTTGGGCGGGTGATCAGCTCGTCGAAAGGCCTCTACCTGTACACAAACACAGAAAAACGCACACAAACATCCATGCCCTGAGTGGGGTTCGAACCCACGATCCCGGCTTCCGAGCGAGCGAAAACAGTGCATGCCTTAGACCGCTCGGCTACCGTGACCGGCCCACACAAAAGTTACCTATACAAAAACTTCCCTGCATTGTAAGCACAAGCTTGTCATTAATGACGTGCCATAATAGTATTTCTGCTAATAAAACTAAAATGAAAGGGCATCTTCTGGGATATAACGCTGTGTAGTTCGATATAACCCAATTGGCGTTTCGGGGGAACACGTCGCAACCATTGTCAGCTCTCTTCACATCTATCGCTGTCAGAAAGTAATCTCATATATAAATAAAATTGTTTTCTATAATATTATCCATAAAACATTAACGAAATTGGTAGATTCTAAAGGGTTCTGATGATGACGTATAACAAGCAGAACTACTGGGTT